TTATATAATTGTTAGAATATTCTAGAAGGTGATCATGATATACTGATCATGATCACCTTCGTTATACATTGTATCAATGATGTATACAATGTATTGTATAGTCAGTCCCACTTCTCTCTTCCCTTAGTCAACATTACAGTTACTTTCTCTTGGAGAGGGTTAGGGTAAAACTGATGATGATTATTCCTCTCTTTCTGATTTTTATTTATAGTTGTGGGAGAAAGAGGAGAAAGAAGATGAAAGAAAGAGGGACTTAATCTTAATCCCGCATCTATTTGATTTTGCTATCATTATTCTGCATCTATTGATCTATGCTTAACATTTTAACTAATCCAGTTAATTCTTAACTATCATGACTACTGATCTTTACCTGGATTAGTTCAAATACTAATTACTTAATCCTGAGTAAAGATTAATTTTATTAATTTTTATCACATATACCATGAGAATTTCCAAATTTGTCCAAAGGATGGAGACTTGACGATTATTCTGGAGTTTGTTCTTTTTCCTGAATGGTGTGGTGGATGATTATCAAACACAAGCTGGCATTGATTTTCTTGACTAAGTCAAAATTTATAAAAAAAACTGATAGAGATCGAGATAAAATCCAATGCAAAGTCAAGGTTACAAACGATTCGTTTTCAACAGAGCTATCCAGAATTGTATAGTCCGAATTATTGGTTTGATTGATTTGATTAATTGGATCAATCATCATATTCTGTTCATTACTATTGAAATCAAAATAGCTGAATAAACAATTGTTATTATCTACGGGCGTTTGATTGAGCAACATATTTTCGTCCACGTTAATACTCCGCATTTTTATCATCAACTTGATCATTTTCATTATCAATAATTTTTACATTTACTTTTTCCTATCCACACCATCATCATAATGCCAATATTCAATACTTTGACTGAGGCAATGATTGATAAAGATTAAGTCTGATCATTATGAGTACATGTATTTAAACTAGAATGTTATCAAAGGATTAAAAGAAGGAGGATGAACTCTACTTTCCATCCTACGGGTGTTCTTTATCGTTGTGATGACCAATTTCACCCAGAAGTTTTTCTTGATTTTTATCAACAAATTGATCTCATCAAATCGAAATTATTATGCTATCACTTTCCTATTGTTACAAATGCAATGACGAATTTTCTGTCGATATGGATTCAAAGATGAATTAACGATCCATCCTTTTTTTCTCTTTTCACCTCTCAACACTATAATTTTCTCTTTTTGTGATTCTATTTATTAAATTTTCTATCATCGTTCTCATAATTGTCACCAATCAACTAATCATAAAAAATTTAAAAGTGCATAATACATATAATTTCATCTTCCAATTGCAAAGGTATCACGTTTAATTGGATGATAAAAGGGAAAGGGATGTTTTTATTATTGTAAGAATAGAAATCATTTTGTCAGCAATAGATAAGTACATTTAATTGCATATCTTTTTACAGTTATTCAAGTCTAATCCAACAATTACTAAATTAATATCCATATAATTATCTCCTATTGATTCAGCAGGTATTATTTTCAATCGCATCTCTTTTGGTGCCACTATAAAATGAAAATTTATCACTAATTGGTCACACTGATAATCTTTAAGTTGATTGTGTAACTTATCAAAGAAATTAATACAACTCAGTAATTCTCACTCTCGTCTACATTATCTTAATTTCTAACGATGGATTTTCTTATTTTAATTTGTTCATTGTTCACCTTAATCGTCACAATTAACGCTGGTCCAACTGATGATCACCCCCACATGCAAAATTTGTCAGGTCTTTGTAGTGACCTCAAAGAATCAATAACCGAAGGAAGTTTTGTCGCTCGTAAAAAGATTCTGGATGAATGTGCTGTGAGTAAATTACAAATCTCTCTATCAATTCTAATTCAATTTCTAATTATCGTTACCAAATTAAGGCTAAATCATTTACGACTGAACAAAGTAAGGCCATGGAAAAATGTCGAGCCAAATTACCCTTGGAAACTCCAACTGATGTGGAAAAAGTTTGTTCCGATATGAAAACTTACGAACCTAAATTCCAAGAGGTAATTAGTCTGAGTTCTAAGTATTCGAACCAATAATCGAACAAAAAATTCATTTTCTCTCTCTCCTTGCAAAATCCATAATCAACGAGCTAATTGATTAATTTCTCGATTTCAGCTTCGAACATGCTTTAAATCTAATGGTCCAGGTCCATCTTCAAAGAAAACATTCAAGGTAAAATTGACAACAATTAAGATGTAGTAAATATTCAATTTGATGATAATTAATCTCTATTTTATTCTTTAGGATTGCCTAATCAAAGCTCTTGGAAAAATTTAAATACCTCAGGGTGATATTGAATATGGACTGAAAACTTTTTATAACGAATACCAATTTAATTACTTTCACGTTGCTTTTGATTAATTTGGGATAATGAATATTGTTGATACTAATTGTATAATCAAATAAATTAAAATCTTTCAAACGATAACCTTTTGTCCACTTTTACAATCGGCGACAATCAATCATTAACATTAATGACATTTCCATACTTTTATCAACCATTAGTTACACTTTTCAACAATTAAATGAATTAAAATCCTCCCTTTTTTAGTAACTAAATCAAATTAATAACGAATCACAATCAGTGACAATCAACAGTTTTAATAAACCAACTCTCTAGTTACATTCAAGCAATAATCTTGAACTAAAATCCATCAGCAATGGGGAAAAAAGCCTTGCTAATTGTTACACTCTACTCATTGTTAATTTTAATTGTTTCACAAGAAATTAACATTAAAAGCTTATTCATCGGTACTTGTGATCATATTTTGGAAGCAATTAAATCAGGAAAATACTCTGAAAACCAGAAAATAGTAAATGATTGTCTGGTAAGTTAACTAATTAATTTCTGATAGTCGAGTCAATTATAATATCATTTCTCATTTAATTATTACAGAAGGAACCAAAATGTAAACAATTTGCTGATCCGGTTGATAAATGTTATGAAATTTTACCAATGAGAACACCAGAGGAAATCAATTCAACTTGTTCAAATATTGATGGTAACTTAATTGCTTTTGGACAGGTAAATTAAATTACCAATTTTTTACCCATTACAATCAATTGAATAAATTTTGCATCCCTTTAATTGTCAGGTAAAAAGTTGTATGGAAAATTTAACTTCAACCATGGATCTAAATAGTTTCCAGGTAATTGTAAAATCTTCTTAAAAAACAATTCTAATTGTTTCATCCAATTGTAATTGTAAGTAAAATCTAATTTTTCAATTGTTATATTAGAAATGCTGTGAAAACTATTTGACTCGGACAAAGGTTAATCAAACAGTCTGATTCACTAATTAGTATTATTCAACCACTGGAACAATCAACTGGATTATGATTAATTCACGAATTATTATTGTATCAATAATCACCTTAATTTTAACTAAATAAATGACCAATCAATTGCACAATTTAAACTTTTTGTTAAATTTATTTATTGTTTTTGAATGAATGATCTATTAAAAGGTAATATAACTATCAAAATTAATTGTTTACAATTTAATGTAGTTGTTATTCAAATACACTTTGTAGATATCGTTGATGATTATTTCTAAATGTATGGTTAATTTAAATTACAATTAAAATTACCATCACAATAGTATAGCAATCGAGAAATTGTGTCAACAATTAGCTGATCACAATTAGTCAAACTGATGTGACAAAAAAATGCTACGGTTAATAAAAAATTAATAAACTTTACAATTAATCATATCAATTAGCTGATTGTTGTTTATTTTCAGTGTGAATTGTAACCATTATGATAATGATGAACAATTTAATTTAATTTCTATTAATAGTTAATCAAATTCATGGTTAAAAGTGAAACTCACAAAGCAATTATGATTATCTCAATTGACAACTTGACAATTTGATTAAATTACAATTATCATCTGTACACATTTATAATTGGGTTGAATTAAATTCAACATTAATTGAATATAATATAATCATAAATTGTAAACTTTAATTTGATTAGTTACAACCTTTCAAAAAAGTTTTATATTTAATCAGATTGATTTGATTGTCACCATAAACAATTAGAAACAAATAAAGGTAATCACATAAAGATAATTAATTATATTTTAATTGTAATCCTTTGATATAAAAAGAGACTCAACTTAATTTTCATGAGTAAATTGTTAGCCGATCAACATAGATCAAGTCTCAAGTCTAAATCAAGTTACAATTTTGTTTATCGTACCAATCAACTAATCAACAAGATGATTAAAAAAGTTTTATCTATTTTCCTATTGTTAACTATCATCTCAACAATTAAAGCTGAACCGACTCCCAAAAATGTATTAACATTTAGATGTCAAAAAATGTTGGAAGGAATAAAAAATGGCTCATTTGAAAAGGCCCAAAAGGAGCTAGAAGATTGTAGAGTAAGTAGATTTAAACAATTTAACCGAATTAGTGGTGATTAACTAATTGCTCGTCGATTGTCAGGAACAAGCCGTACCTAAGGACATCTTTGCTGCGGTCAATAAATGTGACGAGCAATTGCCCATGAAAACTGCCGATCAAGTGACCAAAATTTGTGCTGATATTGACGGAAATGTCGCAAAATTTGAAGAGGTAAAGTTGATTGTTGCCTAGTGATTTTCTTATTGATTGATTAATTTTCTCATCAATTGTTCTTAGGTTAAGAAGTGTACTGATCAAGCTCTTGGAAAGGAGAACATGGGAAAATTTAGGGTGAGTTAATTGTTTAGAATTAACTAATTCAGCTAATCGAATGATTTAATTGTTACTTTAATAGGAGTGTTGTAAGAAAATGGCTGGAGGAGATCCAAAGCCTCCGCAATAAACTGGGCTTATGATTGAACTTCAATTGTGATTAACGATCAATACCTTTGGTTTTCATTTAATTTTGAATTTGATTTCTGCTTTTCTTTCAATGAATTTAATTGCTAATAAAACTTGTCATGATAATTACATTTCTTCAAGATCTACCAGTTATTTGACTAATACGTTCGGGGTTGATTGGAATGACTGAAGTTGTGGTGAAATAGTTTTATGTAGAATAGTTTTCGTCCAGAACGATTATGGTTCTTAGGACCTTCGAAGCACTCAGATCGTCAAATGCTTCTTTAATCTCCTCTAAGGGTCGGTTGGATGTGATGAATTTATTTAGATCAATTTTATCAGTACGAACTAAGTCTATTAGACCAGGGATGTCTTCGTGTCTGTAGTTACCATAAAGTCCGCCAGTGATTGTTATACCACAGAAAACATCGGCTGCAGAGATTGGAAATGTAGCCCCTGGAACAGGTAATCCAACCAATGCTGCTCTCGATGTGACCTTAGGTACTAACGATTCAACGGCTTCTTTCATCGCAATTGTAGCACCGACACAACAAACAGTATGATCAACACCATTTCCACTTGTAAGATCCTTAATCGCATCAACACTTGTCTTACCAGATTCGAGTTCGTTTGGGTTAACAAAATGAGTGAAACCAAATTTTTTTGCGATTGGAAATTTATCTGAATTAAGATCGATTCCAATTATCATTGATGCCTCACAATGATCTGCACCAAGACCAGCAGCTAATCCAAGTGTTCCTAATCCCCATATTGCAACACTTGACCCTTTGGTAACTCGAGAAATGTTTACCGCTGATCCATATCCGGTTGATATTCCACATGCTATCAGACAAATTTTCCTAAGATCAACATCTTCTTGATCAATCTTGACCACTCGATCTGCTTCAACTAAAGTATATTCTAGATTTCAATGACAAGAATTAGTAAACATGTTGATTAAGTGTATTTCGAGAATTTTTATCCTCAAATTGATATTCGATAAGATTTTTTTACCTGAGAAAGTACTTGCACCAAACAAACGATAACATGGTTCACCTTTAACTGTGAATGGGATCTCACTTGTTTCGATGTTTATTTGAGCATTCAACATGCTGGTTCCACAATAATTAGCTATTCCTTTATCACAATCTGAACATTTTTCGCATTTACCGAAAAACATTACAAGCACTTTATCTCCAATCGTAACATTAGTCACATTGTCACCAATCGATTCAACTATTCCAGCTCCTTCATGACCAGGAACATAAGGAAACATTGATTCGCCCAAAGCCATTCCCGATTCTGAATAATCAATTAAATCAGAATGACAAACACCACTGGCGATTATTTTAACTCGAACCTCGCATCTACTTGGAGGTCGCACTGTTATCATTTCAACAGTCAACGGTCCTTTAGGAGCCCATAAAACAGCAGCTCGACAATCTATTGATTCACCAACATTCGACATTGTGATGATTCAAGCTACTTTGTTCTGTCTGATCTTCTCAATTAGGAGGAATATGTTTAGGGATAGCCAAAGAGAAAAGTAAAAATAATCAATAAAAAAACTTGGAAGTTTTTAAACTTGAGCCATGCAACCAAAGTTTTCATATTAAGTACAAATAAATTATTCGTGATGAACTTTCATTCAGAAGTTAATATCGACCCATTGAAAAACACTTTATCGCCATAAAGAAAACCGATCTTTATGAACATTAAAATTAATCACGAGAATAAAAGTTAAAAAGTTTAATTGATTCTCGATTAATCATTGAAACTAACGTAATTCTATTGATGATTGTGACAATTTGTAATTAATTTTGATGGGAGAACAAGTTTACGAATTGATTTTTGAGTCAATCATATTACTCTATTTTTGTTTCGCTCTCTAGCTCATCTGATTGAAAAATAACAGAGATCAGGTTATCATCATTAAGGTTATAATCTAATGATGATCTATGGAAAATAAAAAAGAAAAGGAAACGCAAGGAGAAAAAAATTTAATTTCTTTATTGTGATCAGATTGATCCTGGAAAATTACGGAGAAGCAAAGGAGGATAAACACTCATTTGATGAATTCTACATAACTTCTATCTTATGGATTTTTCTTCATGATTTTTCATATTTCATCCTCATCTTCAAAATTCATCATCATCAAATAAAATTGACTTTCCCTGCCACAACCTTTTTCCTCTTCATCCTTTACTTTATCTCTCTCTCTCTCTCTCTCTCTCTCTCTCTCTCTCACTCACTTGTTTTTTATAGTAAAATATTAAAAAAATTAAATTGACAAATGGCTTTTTATTCAGACACACGCACTCACGCATCATCATTATCCCTTAACAACTTTACCTTATTATCACAACCCTACCACCTCCTCAGTTTTTTAAACATTGTTACTAAATCTTCAGCCAAATGATCAAAGCAATATTGAAAAATATATCAAAATACTAATGATAATTACAAGTACTCAACACAAATAGCATTTATTAATAATTGTAAGTTAGTCACATCAAAACTGCAACATTGATTGAATTAAGTTCTAACAAAACAGCGACAACAACAACAATTAGCTTCAAAAAACATACAGACAGTCAATCAAGATTCTAATGATTAATAATAGCAATCAAATGAATTGGTACGGTAAAATTGACTCATCCTTGCTTAAACTAATATTGATAAAATTTTCTCTCTAATTTGAAAATATTGAATGATATGATTAGTTTAATTTTCGAAGCCATTATTATGATTACGATCACTTATTCAGGTAATTTGGATTGTTTACAAAAGCAGAATCATCATCAGTTAGAAGTAGAAATTGTATTGTTATCAAAAAAAGAGAAAAAGAAAGAAGATTCAATATGTATAAAAGAAGAAAAAAAAGTTCTTTTCACGCAAAAATCTCGTTTCCATTATAATGGTAACAATCATGAAGATAATAACATAGAGACACTGGTGCCAATGTTATTTTCTGCTTGGCATTATAATATTATAACAGAAATTGAATTTGAAATGAAGCAAAAAAGGATTGATGGATAAACAAGAGGCATAATCAACAAGATAATCCATAAGGAGATAACCAGTATTATTACAATTCGAGTGGTACTAATCATGTTGTTGCTATTTGATTTGATTTGACAACAATATCTTAACATAAGGGATCTGAGTAGTAGGGAACCGTACGCCTCTAATGCAGCCTAATTTTTTAAATGCACCGTACGCCTCTAATGCAGCCTAATTTTTTAAATGCACCGTACGCTTTAAATGCACCGTACGCTTTAAATGCACCGTACGCTTTAAATGAAGCTCTTCTGTTTAAAGCATTTCATCTTGAGATTTTTATCTAAGGATTGCGGAATAGAAAGGTTGAAAGCCAACGCTCTAAGGTTAAAAAGATTTTATTTTCAACTTCAGGTCAATATAAAATTCAACTTAACTAACAGAAATGAAGATGGAGAGAAAATTATAGATTTTTTTGTTGCATTTTTTTTATTCATCATAAGCGTTTACAAAAAAATGTTAATTGTGGTTAGATTGAAGCTTTTGAGCTTACGTCTTTTGTCAAATACAATGAGACCACAGTTACAGGTTTTTGGGGTAACTTCCTTGAGAAAACCATTCATCTTATGAATTTCGTCTTTAAGAGTTAATGCCATTTTCATTCCATAGTTACAAAAATTAACATTTCTCACCTCCATATTACTGAGAGTTTGACTAGCGTTATCACCTGCACAACCCACAATTCCACCAACGTTGAACATGTGAATGAAAAGACGCAGTTCATCCTCAGATTTATAGTTGATAAAGTTGAAATTGTAATAATCGAAGAAAAAGCTTGTTTAGTTTCCTATCAACACTGAATAAACCACCGACTTTATCAAACATTATAACTAGAGATATTGGTTATGAAATAAAGTTTTTTTCACTTAAATGAGGTAAGACTGTTCAACACTCACCAGTTGACAAACAACAAGTGAAGATGAAAGTTTATACTCTCCCAAAAATAACAAATATTGTAACATGTTGGGACTTGTGTAGAAAGATCAACATTAAAGGTACTTCAGGAAAAACAAGAAAACGTTTCAATGCAGATGTTATCAAAGAGAATGGTAAATGTTTACTTGTTTTGAATCCGAAAGATAAATGCTACTGGTTTCGAACAATTTTGTCTGCTGGTGCATTCGTACAAAAGCACTTTCCGATTGACAAAATCAAGTTTATAAAAGTTTGCAATTATGTTGCTTCAGGAAAATTAAACCTCGGATTGACATCTGCTTTTTGTGTCGTCAAATAATAATGTTACATACGAGCCAGAACTTTTCAATGGAATTTATTGGAAAGACGGAAAAGTTTGCGTCATCTATTTTCCAAAAGGCTCGTATGTTATTACGGGGGGGGAAACTCGAAAACACTTGCGTGAGATATTTCAAAAATTCTTTACAGCTATTTCTTCTGCTATAAAAGCTCAATAATTGTTGAAGATAAGTCAGTTTAAATTGTCATCATTAATGAAAACAAGTTATATTTCTGAAAATTGTTAATATGCCGGTCTTAACTTGGAGCTCATTGAAACCAATTGTTATTAACCCTGAATTAAAAATTAGTATTTCTTATGGAGTTGATGAGTTCGGAGAAGTGATTTGCTTACGATCGGACATTCGTATTTACTACAATGGTCATCCAACTCGTAATGGTTTGAATCTAAAACGATGGGAGCTAATTCATCTTGGTCGATATATTTCTATGATGATTAAAGGTACCGCCGAGGAAATCGAAAATATTGATGAACTGACTATCACACGAACGGATTCAGGTGATCTTCTCTGTCAAAAAAGATTCGCAAAGCTGAAAATTGAATCAAAATACTTCAATATACTTGATGGATTGATTCTGGTATTGCTCTAATCCACGAGTTCATCAAAGATCCTCTTGGAAAGTATCCTGCTTCCTTGTTGCAACAGGCGTGTTTATTTTCTAAATTTGTCCAAGGAAATGATCTAAACCCTTTGAGTGATTGGAAGGAAGAAGAGTTACTTGAACCCGGTAAACTAACGGATGAGGAGAAAAACATCATGAAAGGGAAAAAGGATGAACTTTACCAGTTCTACTTAGCTTCCTTCGGCATGATAGATGGTTTATCAACCGATATAAATTCTTTTGAGGAGTCAATTTCCGCAGGTTTTGATGGGAATCTAGCTGATTTTATGAAAGAAAACAAGATAACGTTTCGATCCCTAATTATTGTAATCAAAATGATTTGTGGTTAATCATTCAGTTGTCTTTGTGAATCAGTTGAATTAACTTGATTTTTATTTTGAACTTGACTTATTAATTTTTGCTTGTAATTTCTACAACTTTCTTTCTTTTGTTCTAATTAAATTTTGTTCAAATCATAATTATGTCTAACATTTGTGCTTTTTTCGATGTCCAAGGATTTCATCTAAATGGAGAATTTCTACCCCGTGAGATTGCTTGTTTGAGTGCATCGTCAACCATCCATTTTGCTGTTAATCATGGAAAACGTGCTTTGATATCAACCTACAAGATGACTGGTCAATAAGTATGGAGGTGAATGAAACCATGGGTTACCTTTTGAATGTAGTGGCCAGGGTCTTCTACCTAACCAGGCGTTCAGCTTACTGGCAACGTTTTATGGTAGCACCACAACCCAGGATAAGTTTTCGTGGGCTATGTCTCATCGGATGCTGAAGGATTCTCAGAAAATTGGCGATACCAGGGTAAGAATCATTCCATCATGTGATGATACTAGTGCCCCATGTCAACTTCACCCTAATCAGGCTAAATATCAATGTGCCTTGAAAATGTTGTAAAATGTGAGAGAGTATCCACCAAGTGATGAGTGAGAGAGAGAGAAAGAAGAAAATAAATAAATGAAAAATTTGAAGCATGAAAACTTTACTGTATCCTTAATTATTGAACTTTGATTAAACTTTTATTCAATTGATAACAAATAAATCTTAAAACGCCTTAATTGAACTCAACTTTCGCGATTTAAATGATAACTCGTATCTCGAAAAAATTGAACTCATGAAACTCGCGAAAGCTCAGAGAAAAAAGATATCAGTAACCACGCGAGTAGCTTGAAGTCAATTTTCTCGCGGTGACTCGGTAATTAAAGAAATTTCACATCTCGCGAGTAACCCCCCACGCGTCGTGATTCTGACTTTTACAAGATGATATTTATTTCTACCGACGAAAAAAAAAATTTCCCGCTATTGACACTTGGCCAAATGATTAATTAATTAAATTCAAGGCGGTTGATAAAAGTCCAATTTTGCTTTTTATTCCTTAAAGAGAGGGAAAAATTTTTTTCTATTAATCGAAAATTGGGTAAATTTGACAATTAAAATTTGGTAAATTTTCTCCCCGGTGTTTCCCGGTATTGACACTTGACCAAATGATTAATTAATTAAATTCAAGTTGGTTGATAAAAGTCCAATTTTGCTTTTTATTCCTTAAAGAGAGGGAAAAATTTTTTTCTATTAATCGAAAATTGAGTAAATTTGACAATTAAAATTTGGTAAATTTTCTCCCCGGTGTTTCCCGGTATTAACACTTGGTTAAATGATTAATTAATTAAATTCAAGTTGGTTGATAAAAGTCCAATTTTGCTTTTTATTGCTTAAAGAGAGGAAAATTTTTTCTATTAATTGAAAATTGAGTAAATTTGACAATTAAAATTTGGTAAATTTTCTCCCCGGTGTTTCCCGGTATTGACACTTGACCAAATGATTAATTAATTCAATTCAAGTTGGTTGATAAAAGTCCAATTTTGCTTTTCATTGCTTCAAGAGAGGGAAAATTTTTTTTCTATTAATTGAAAATTGCTTTCATTGCTTTTAAATCAATTGAAATTTGACGATCTAAATCATGTGAATTGTGGTTAACTAAAGTTTCAAAAGCAAGTTCAATAAGGCAAAATTTTTGCTCTTTGGTTGTGTCGTGATGAACAAATTGTATATCCCTTCACACCTATGAGCAATTTTTGGTTGAGAGGAAAATTAGTCATTCATTTGATTCAAATATTGAAAGAGAACACGAGAAAGAGGTAAAGTTTCCTATTTGTGAATTCCTGATAAAATTTGTTTGGTCGAAATGGACGTAAGTAGATTAATGATAAATTCTAACATAAACTAACTTTTCAATTTCGATCGTAGATAATCGAACTCGCTATTTTCTCAAGGCTTGATGATCAATGCAAAAGCTTGGAAGAAGAATCTGAAGATTTGATCAAGAAAATTTGTTATTATGGATTTTTGGATGTCAACAAGTTTAAAATTGATGGGTTCACCAACGAAACTCAGATCAAAAGTATTCTTAGAAGACCCATTCCATCTCCGTTCCATCCTGCATATCGTTACGTATGTGATTTGAATGAAATCGATATTTTATTGGTACAAATTCGTAATGTTATGTATTGCATGTCTCATGGAATACCAGGTAATCGCGCAATAATATTAAATTAAAACTTTCTTGATCATTTTGAAATCTTTAATTCGGAGAAGAAGAAGAAGTTACACAATTATTTGACGTTACAAGGGTTACAAGGATAAGTTCAACTTCTCTCATATACTCTACCAGATGATTATACAGAGTAACAGTTGTGTCAGATTCGATCAATGTTTGAAGTTTTGATAAATGTTCACTTATTAAAGAACCATCATAGCAACAGTCATTTCCACCAAACTCACCATCGCTCGATGAAACCACATGAACAGCAGACCTGAAAACGTTCAACGCGTGTTGATAATCATTTATAATCCATTGAATTCTTCTTTTTAACATGGGTAATTCGACATTTCTTTGTATTCTCCATAGAACAAATGTAAGATTTCTCCCCAATTTCAAATAAAATTTTTTGATATTCATAACTTGTTTCCACTTTAAAATAATTGATGATTGAACTTGATTAAACTATGAATTAATTGATGAAATAAATCAATTTAGTTTTCTTTTCTTTTCAATTTGATTTGTTTTCACTAAAAGATCGGAAATCTCAATTGCGCGTGAGTGAGTAAATGAATATCAATTGTAATAAATATTGTTGCTTTGATTAAGTTTTAATCAGTAACTCAAGAGTTATAGTTTAATCAAAAAGTTTTAATAATTATGGATGAACAAGGTTTTATGTGTAGATTTTGTCAAATTAAATTTAATGATGTGGGTGAATTTATAAAACATTCATGTTGTGAAAATAATGAATACGATGACTTAGAGATTTATTTGGCCTTCTCACAGTTTTTGGATCCTCCATCAGCAACGTTATCGAATCCATTACAAAGTGAACAACAGCAACAACAACAACAACAACAACAACAACAAATTTTTAATGAATTAGAGACAATCAGTGAAGTTATCGGTAAATGTCCAAGTTGTGACCAATTTTGTGGAGATTTTTCAGCTCTTGCTGAACATAGGTGCGGTGAGGTTGAACAACAACAACAACAACAACAACCTCTGCACGCTAACGTTGATGAATTTTCCCAAAATTTAATGGAAGTTGACAAACATGCTTGTGATAAATGTAACGAACTATTCTCATCATCTCAACAACTTTCTAACCACCTTAAGGTATGTGGTCTAACTTTAGCATGTCCAAAACCAACAGATGTACTTGAATTGTGTAACTTTAAACTGCTCAAACAAGCATTTCAAACAAAGTATCGTTTATACTCACGAAAGTTTGATAAATGTTACACGTTAGAAGACCTCCATGGGGAGACTAAAGAAGATTTAAAGTCACTCATTTCATCATTATCAAGAGACTTGGGTCCTTTGAAAATTTCCTTTTCAATTAATATTGTATTTGAAAAACTTGGAGCAAGTGATTTTATCACTTCATACATACACTCAATTTTTAAAGTTTACCTTAGTTCGTCTGATGACTTAGATCAACTCATCTTGGATGGGTTTTCCGAGATTCAAAGTATCATAGACCATTACACGGAGAGAGGGAGTGGATTCATCATTGTTTGCATTTCATCTTTAGATGTCTATGTTGCTTGGTATCAACCTCATCACGGTGGTTGTAGGTTACAAAAGTTACCTAAGCAATTATCGGCAAAGAGGTGTTTCATTACTCTAAACTGTAAGACAAGCTGCTTTATGTATTCTATTCTTTGCAGTATATATGGAAAAGTTGACAAACATCGTGTTAACAAGTACGATAAATATATTAAAGCTCACAACTTTTCGAAATGGACTGGTGATGTTACATTGGATCAAATCAATGGTTTTGAGAAAGTTAATGAAATTTCTGTCAGCGTTTTTTCATATAACCTGGAAGGTAAATACATTATTCCCCTTCGCATTGCTAAAGAGAAAAAAGAAAATCATGTTCAACTGTTGTTATATGCTGATCACTATTATCCAATCTCAAGCTTGAAGAGAGCCCTGAATAGTAGATCAAATAGAAGACGTTATCATTGTGAACGATGCTTACATGGCTATGACTCAGCTGTGAAACTTGATTTACATTTGAAAGATTGTGGAATTCGACCGGCACAGCGAGTTAAAATTCCTGTCTTGACAAGAGAAAATCCGTTGGCGGATCTTGTTAAACGTAATCTTAAAAAAGAGAGTAAACACCCGTTTGTTATTTATGCTGATTTTGAAAGCATTTGCATTCCCACAGGTGATCAGAGAAAAGTTTCTAAACATGAACCCAGCAGTTACGGTTATATTGTGGTTGACTGGAATAAAAAAGTGATTAGACGTGACTTTAAGCATGGAAACAACATAATCAATGACTTTCTACATAGCATCAAACAGACTGAAAAATGGCTGAAAATTTATCTGAAGGAAAACGCTTGTAAGCCTCTTGAGATCACCGCTGATATTGAAGAAAGTTTTCTGCTCTCATGGGATTGTTGGATTTGTGGTGAACCAATGTACGGCGATAGAGTTCGAGATCACGATCATTTTACTGGTGAATATCGTGGTGCTGCTCACAGTTCATGCAACGTAAACTACTCTATTCCCAAGCGAATACCTATTTTCTTTCATAATCTGAAAATTATGACAGCCATTTGATTATCGCTGGAATGGACAGTAGATCTTTTTCAACCGACTTTACAATTATTCCTCAATCGATGGAAAAGTATATCGGATGGTTTGTTGGTGATTTAGCCTTTCTCGACTCTTATGCTTTTCTACCTGCTAGTCTGGAAACATTAGCGAGAGATCTGAGCGTAGAAGAGAAGCAACACTTTCTACGCCAAGAGTTTGCAAATTGTGATCTTACTAATCTTCTTGACAAAGCTGCTTTACCCTATGAATATTTAGATTCGTTTGAAAAGTATAATGAGAAAAGATTACCAGGTATTGAATCATTTTATTCATCGTTAACAGACAAAGGTATTACAATTGAAATGCATGAGAGGTTAAATCGTGTTTGGAGTCAGTTCAACTGTAAAACATTGGGTGATCTGATCGATATTTATCTAAGGCTGGATGTGTACTTGTTAGCTGCAGTTTTTGAAAACTTTCGAGAAACAAGTTTGAACGACTTTGGTATTGATCCCCCGCATTATATGTCAGTCCCTGGTTTATCGTTTGCTTCAGCGATCAAGATGTTGAAAGTTTCCCTCAGAGTCTTTACTGATCTCGAAATGTACATGATGATTGAAAATGGAATAAGAGGTGGCTTTACTACAGTCGCAAAAAGGTATGCCAAAGCAAACAATCGTTTTCTACAATCATATGATGGTGGTGATGAATCTTGGCTTCTTTATTTAGACGTGAATAACTTGTATGGTAAAGCAATGTGTGACGTTTTACCATGCAGCGCCTATTTTTGGGTTAGAAATCGTGACTTGAATTTCTACCTTTCCGTTGAAGATAATGCTGAAATTGGTTATATTCTGGAAGTTGATCTTGACTATCCTGAAATATTACATGATAAACATAACGATTTTCCTCTCGCTCCTCATAAGATGACGATCGATGATTCAATGTTAAGTCCTACTGCTAAACAAATACTTGAACAACTAGGACAAAAGTCAACAAAAACGGAAAAACTAGTGGCCACTTTTTTACCCAGAGAACGGTACGTTATTCATTATCGTACATTAAAATATTATGTTGAAAATGGGTTGAAAGTGAAACAAATTCATCGAGTAATATCGTTCTATCAAAAGCGATGGTTATCACCATACATAGATTTTTGCACTAAAAGCGGAAAGAAGCTTCCTCCCCTTTTATCTCATCACTATACAAGTTATTTGTCAACAGCAATTATGGGAAGCTGATGGAAGATAAAAGGAAAAGAGTTAAAGTTGATCTGGTAACATCTGAAGTAATGGCTGCAAGAAGAACCAGGAAACAACTATGTAAAAACATGAGAATCCTGTCGGAAGATAAAGTGTTGTTTCAAATGCTGCCGGATAGTGTTTTACTTGACAAACCGATCATCGTCGGGTTCACTGTACTAGAGTTAGCAAAACTACATGTTTACACCCTTTACTATGACAGATTCAAATCATTTTATAATGATAATATCAAGCTGGTCTATTCTGATACGGATTCACTTTTGATTGAGATAAAAACAAATGACTTACCAAGTGATATGAAATATTTCTCAGATATAATGGACTTTAGTGACCTACCGGTTGATCACTACTTATATAGTGATGTTAATAAGAAAAAAATTGGTTGTCTCAAAGACGAGATGAGTGGTGAGGTGATTGATGAAGTTGTTGCACTTCGACCAAAACTTTATGCAATTAAAACTGAAAATAATGTCAAGAAGAGAGCAAAAGGTGTTCAAGGTGTGGTTGTTAAGAATCAGTTAACTTTTGATGATTACAAACAATCTCTTTTCAACGTTGAACTGGTGCGAAGAATGAATCGTCGTCTTGGTTCGGAAAATCACATAATCCATTTATATGAAAACGAAAAAATTGCTCTTTCACCATTTGAAGATAAAAGGTATCTTATTGACTCTGTGAATTCTCTTGCTTATGGACATTATTCAATTAAACAATAAATTCAATGTTACCGCGAAATAAACGATTTCACTTATTTCGCGAGAAAAACGATTTCATTTATCTCGCGCGTTAGTCGATTTCCTTCATCTCGCGAAACCTTACCGATCATTGATTTGCTTATTATCGCGAGATCGCCCCCCGGTCGGGTCAAAAATAAGATTTGACTTGCAATTTAAACAGTCAGTGTTTATTTTATTAGCTTTAAAAGTTTTTTGTAAATCAAATATTCATTTTTTGAATGATTACAATGTGTAAGTAAATTGAAAAAAGATTTTTTGTTTGACATGAGGACAAATAGTAAACAATAGTAACCACAGGCTGCGGAATCATCACCCTGGTATTTTGATTTAGATATTTCATAGAAAGAGGTGTTTCTCAGTATAAATGATAAAATTTCTGGTGGTGGTTGACGTCCAAAAGAGTCAAAGTAAATACCTGTACGGTTTTTACTTATATAAACCGATACCCAATGTGATCCTGGTTGATAGGAAGGGTCTAAATTTATAATGTAATTTATTGGAAGTGATGATGAACTGACAATTGGCAGATTATCAATCGAGTAAACTCCTCCAAAAAACTTGTGTCCAGATAAAATCATTTCCAGGTCACTTGATGACAACATGATGTTTCTCTCAATAATCAATTACAACGTTTCTCTCTCTATCAACTGTTATCAGATTATCAAATTGTCCAAGAACAATAAGTTTAATTTGTTTTTTCAATGTTTTGGAAAATCTGATTTCACATCTTATAGACCCTCGTCGAAGTAAATTCAGAGTCCCCGTCTCACCACCTAATGTACCATCACTACTCAAGTCAAAAGCAAACAAACAGTACATTGACTTGTACTTGTCATAATCAATATCACATTGTGGAATTCCATCATCTTGACCAGTGTACCGGTATAAATTTACAAATTCTCTCATATAAAGGTTTCCTTCAAAATCGGGTTGATAAGGTACTGTCGGTACATGATTACCATCAACGTTTAATGCTAAATGGGAAACTGAAAAGTTGTCGAAATTGAATGGATTTGCTTGTCTATCACCTGAAAATGCATCTTCATTGACAAAACCCAAAATTATACGTTTTGGTAAAAATCCATTGAATAAATTTTCTACCGTTATCATGTTTACATCTTTTGTTATAGTAAAGCTTTTCATTTCATTTCTTATGATAAAATACTTAGCTGGAACTTTGTTTAATGTGGTGATTAATCCGGCTTGTGCATCAGGGAAAAGTTTAACTCGTCTAATGAATAGTGATAGACTTGTTATTTTAGTTTTATACGTTTCTGTGTCAGCTTCAGTTGTTGCCCAAACTGGAAATGTTAATGGGCTCCTGGTTAATTTGAAAACCATCGGAATGCCGTTAACCATTAGTCGATCTTGTTGACAAATAGGTAAATGTAAACGGAAAAATAGGTCATAGGTTCGAGATGCAACGACAAATTGAGGTTCTTTCTTTGATAGGTTACCAGTGTCAACAGGGTTCGGGAATTTATACAAAAGATCTTCAAGAAAGGCTTGATAGTGATACATGTTTGATGCTTGACAAAGGTTTACACCATTGAGAAATAAATCTACTTGTTCAAATAGTGCATTTCCAAAATTTCGAGCCATCATTGCTTTAACTGCGTTTTTGGTTGGCTCATTTGTTGAATCGATCACTTGAACCTTAATGTGCAACATTGTCGCGGCCATATCCGTCATGTCTTCAGATGGAGGTACAGCGATCTCATAGACAAGGCTACTCTCTAAACTTGCTGATGGTCTGTACTCAGTTTCATAGCTTGATTCTATTGTTACCTGTGTTGACGGAACTGTGAATAAGGTTAATTCACTTTTCCCCGCTGGATTTGAATCAACGTGTAGATACTCCATTACCCAAATATATCCTTTTTCCTTCTGTTTTTAATTTTTCGACGTTTTTTAACTCGTTTTTTACCTTTTTTCCTGTGAACACTTGACACTGTTGAGCTTCTTTTTCTCCTCTTTCTACCTGAAACAGCTCTCATCATTTTCTTATATGCTTGAATTCCTACGTTACCTGAACCTTTTTGCTCTAATATTTTATTAACTTTAGCAATAGATTCAGATGTTGCATTTATCATACCTTCTTTTGCCCTTGCTTTTAAAGCATCTTTAAATCTTTTTTTCGCTAACATGTCAGCTCCAACATTAACACCTGTGCGAAGAAATTGTTTACCTAAAAATTTTAATATTGGTATTCCAAATCTACCAATTAAAGTTCCTATTCCATATCCTCTTTGGTATGGTGACCCTTTAAATACGCTTATATCACTAAACCCACTTCCTACCTGAGAAGAGAAAAATCTCTGTAAGTCTGACTCACAAGAACAATGAACTTTTCTTGACATTTTCAATAATTTTATTCTCATTTATTATCTGTTACATTGTTTTCTTATACAACTTTTTTCAAATGTAAGCCAATACAAACACGACCTGAGTTAAATTTAACCTGTTCTCCAGTCTCATCACTCAGGATGAAATTGACATCTTCCATTCGATTTGATCGCAATGGATAGTAATGTGGCTTCATGAATCTCTCATGGATTATCTGTTTCTTTTCATCTCCTCTCAGTGGCAAAACACGAAGAACCCTTGCTGATTTATCTCCAACGAAATGTTCAGAGACAATGTCAGAGTTTACAAACATCAAATGAGGCTGAAAGTCTAAAGCAGCAGGTTTTTCAGCAGTCATGCTAACCTCATTTGTGGTTAGAAGTCGACCAATCTTATCAAGGTAACCATAAGCATCGAACCCAAGGGCAGAAATGAAAGCTGAATCGTTGAAGTGTGGGACAATCACTTTATTATGTAAATAGCCTCTATGAATAGTTATTTTCCCGCCAACTAGTTCAATAAAAGGTACTTTATCGTCCTCGCTGATAGTCAGTTCATTTTCCACCAAAGGTTTAAATTTATATAATTGTCGTCTAACTCTTTCAACCTCTTCAAGAAGTTGATTTTTTTCTTCTTTTTGTTTAGCCAAGTCACCATTCAACCTAATTACTTCATTAGCCAAAGAATCGTGCTTATCTTTCAACTCTTTTAGTGTCATCTCAACAGCACTTTTCTCTGAAGCAATCGATTCAACTTTCTGATTCAGATTGTTAAGCTCTTCTTTCGGAACTAGTTGAGCTATCTTTTCTCGCAATTCAGCTTCATTTTCTTGCAGCTTAATTACCTTTTCACGTGATTCTTTCAAATATTGCTGATAATTTTTCCTTTCTTCCATTAATTTAACTTTATCTTCATATGTTTTGACTCTCTTCCATTTGGTCTTTCAATTCGTGTAGCTCTTCTTCTTGTTGCTGTTTACAAATTTTCAGTTTTGATTCAAATTCCAAAGCCTTCTCAGATTTTGTTGACTTTGCATGCTCAAAGTCTTTCTCAATATTCTTAATCTTAATATCAGTTTCTTCTTTCATTGTGTCATATTTTCCTTGTAATTCGACCAAATTTTATCACGTTCACCTTTCAGAATCTCTAGTTCTGCTCTCAGTTTGGAAGCTTCGCTCTTTAGCAATAGCGTCCTCTTCCCATCGTTTTAACCTTAGCAAGGCATCTCTCAAATCTTTCTTTAGATGATAAATCTCAGAATCTTTGTTAGGTTGTTGCTCAAGTTTGTTTATCTTTTCGGTTTGATCAGCCAACATTTTCTGAGCAACTTGTTTATATTTTTCAAAATCTTCTTGGACTACACTTTTTGCAGCTAAGTTTATATTCACAACTTCCACTTCTTTAGTTTTTTGTGCTACCTCGGTTGAAAGAGAGGCAATTTCTTTTTCTTTCTCTTTCACTTGACCGTTCATCTCATCAATTTTTTTCAATAGCTCTTCAAACGCTGCTAAACCTTTAGTTTTAATCTCTCGCAAATGAGCTAGTTTCTCCTCATTTGTAAAATTTGCGCTTTCGACTTTTAACAGTTTGTTAATTGTCTCCATGATATCTCTTTTAGGTCGTTTAGCTTTTGTAGTATTATAATGTTTTCTCATTGCTGTATTAATTTTATCAATAATAGTCCTCTTGTCATCATTTGCTTCCAACATTACATCTAGTTTGACCTTTTGTCCAAAGCCATCTACAAGCAAATGCACCGATAAACTTCGTGCTGTTGCACTTATGTCCGATGGATAGAAAATTTCTTGAAGACCTACCAACCACTCACCACTCAAATCAATGGGTCGAGCCAATCGATTAGAAAATTTTGTTAGAGTGTTGTGAGGGAAAATGTCCATCGAAGCATTTGAGACTGCTTCAATGAAATACTCCTGAGGTTGATTCCACATCTTGAACCCACTGATTAAATTTACTTGGATAGTCTTTCCACTTTACGAAGTACTCTTTCTTTTTTGTTTTTTGATTTATTCTCGTTTTTAATATCTTTTCGATCTGATATAAACTTGGCTCTATGGCTGGTACTAGTTCATTGTGGTAAAAAACTGAAGTTATTCTTTCACCAGCATAATCTTCCAACCAATAGACCCAACCTTGTGGTGTCCTCTTGTGTTTGCTAATAGTAAATATTTCCAGTTTAAAATTTCTTTTCGATCCTTTCTCGAAAATCCCTTTCTCTCTTCTTATCCGAACCTTTGAACCAACGGTAAATGGTTTATAATTTATTTTACTTTTGGGATGAGTTTTTCTTATATTTTTCAGTACCAATGAAGAGTTTTCATTGTTCACTTCTACTGGTGACATACCAATTGTCCGATGAAAAGATTCATTATATGACTGGATTATTTCGTCAAGTACATCGATGAATTTTCCAGTATTTGCATGGTGCAAGTAGCGATAAATCCGTGCTCTTATGGTACCGTTGAATCTTTCAACAATAGCACATTTAATTGTTCCATCGGTAGCAAAAAAATGGTTGATTTTTTTCTGTCTCATTAATGTTTTGAAGTCTGAGTTTGCAAACTCTTTACCTTGATCACTTTGTAACTTTTCTGGTACTCTATTACTATCGGAAAAAATATCATCAAGAGCCTGAACGACTTCAATACCAGTCTTCTTTCTGATTGCACGTGACCAGGCAAACCTACTGAAACAGTCAATTACATTAAGTAAATAACGGTAACCATCATTATATTGACTAACCCAAGACATGTCCATCAAATCAATCTGCCACTGCTCATCAATCTTATTAACCAAAATTGGTAGTCTAGGAATTTATTTTGTTTTGTTTGAAAAGCGTATATGTATCCTGCTTTCTCAACCATTTTTGGACATCAGCGAGTTTTACTGTAGGGTCTCTTCTTTTCAATGCTTTGTATAATCGGTCAACTCCACCAAATGATCCTATCGCTTTCGGTGAGTAATATTCTCTTTCGTAATGTTGGATGCTTTCAGCCATGATATGTTGACTTGTTTCAACTTTTCTTTGCTTTAGGGTTGATTATAAGGTTCAAACACTCTCTGCAGTTTTCTTTTATGTACTTTAGTACTTCTGTTGTTCCATTTGGTGCTCTTCCGATATAGTTTTTTGTCTTTAGATATTCAACTACTCTCTCAATATCACTACCCTTTATTTTTCCCTCGTCATTAAATATCTTATTATCATCGTCAACTAAATCAGACTCTTTTTTCAATATTGACAATAAATCATTATCAACCACCCGTGTGGTCTGTGGTGTTGACGATTCTCGTCTATGAAATGCTCGCTGAGAAATCGTTGGTGTTTCATTGACTTCCTTATTGTACGTGTTATCCAAAACTGTATGAAAAGAATCTTCAGAGTCTTCGTCAGATTTGACAAAATCATCTCCATTGTTCTCCCTTCAACTCCTTTTTCAGATCTTGGTACATCTCGATATCGCGCTGTTAATTCATTCCTAAGACGGTTCTCATCCCTTTCTTTCACCTTTTCTTTTTTGATATCATCTTTCATCATCATTTGGTTAATCAGTTTCATTTTTATACTTGTAGGTAAATCCGAGCTCATAATCGGATCGAAGTCTATTTGTCTCTTTTTAACATTGTTTTTATATTGATCTTCAGGTATCAACACCATTCGACTTGTTGAATTCATTCTGCAATTTGTTTTGTAAGTAAATTGGCGAGAATAGTTATAGCTGGAACAAGTAAACCTTTTAGTAAACCACCTTTTTGAATTAAAATTTTTTTAGCTTTTTGACGTGTTATCTTCCCACCAAGACTTCGAATCTCTTTTTTAAATTTTTTTACACGAGCTTTTTGTTTAGTTGTTAAATGTATATGACCTTTCAATATTTTACGAGCTATTTCTTTTATAACTTGCATCACATTACATGGACATGTTATCATCAATTTTCTCCGTTCATTCAACTTTCTAGCCTGACTCAACTTTTTTAAAGCTGGTAAAACGGTAATTGCTTTTGAAACAGACATTTTTTAGAATCAACTTTATTTAATTTTTCTTATACAATTTAGATTTGATAGGCATAAATTACTTCTTTTTCTCCCAATACATCTGTTAGTAATCTAACTTCATCTGGTGTATCTGGTTTACAGTCAATAAACAGGTATGAGAAAGGACTTCGTGTTGCATGTTCAAATATTTGTCAAATTGTGATGAACGTCCTGGAAACATTTGCTTGGCTAACATTGTTGATATTGACTTATCTCTTGGGTTTTTGAAAAGAACAATATAATGAGAGTTTAGAGAAATATTTCTTGCCTCACCACCTTTTATAAAAAAGTTTTGTACCAGTAAAATAACAGAAAGATTCCTATGATGACTTCCTTTTGTAAACAGTTGTGATACGATTTTTGAATTAGACGATTCATGCATCAAATCATCAATTATTATTAAATGAGCTTTCTTACCGTCAATTTTATCAAGAAAATTTTCAGGTAATCCCTTTATAAACTCAACACTTTCCATTTCGTTGAAAATTGGTTGATATTCTGCATAAAAATAGGTTATCAGTGTTGGTACTGGACTGATTACTTTCTCTCTGTTTTCAATTAGTTTTTTTACCCAAAATGATTTCCCACACCCACTTGGTCCAGAAACCATCATAGTAAATGGATGTCTCAAGTAAATTGAATACATTTTTCACTCATTTTTTTCTCTCCGCAATTTACTTGTCTTATATAATTCAAATTTTCTTGAAACAATTTTCACACAAATTTATTATCTACCAAAATCTTAATTTCAAGGTAAATGCTTTAAACAGAAGAGCTTCATTATAAAGTATGTGCATTAGAAGCGTACGGTGCATTTAAAAACATACGGTGCATTAGAGGCGTACGGTGCATTTAAAAAATTAGGCTGCATTAGAGGCGTACGGTTCCCTACTACTGATCTGATTTATATTAATATCAATCAGGTAAAAAAGTATTAACTTTGTAACACAAAATTGATGAGGATGAAAAGAGGATGCGGATAATATTTAGATTGAAAATGTTGAGCATCTTCAGGATGAATTTTCATCTCTTTAGTGTCTAAATATTATAACATTGTAAAGATGAAATAATTTCTCAATGGTTATAAACCTCGTGATGATGATTGTTAATATCATCATTTTTTCCAAGTGATGCCTTGTGATTATCATGATAATAGTACCGGTAATAATGTTATCATCGTAATAAATGAAAAACCAGAACCTCCCATGATGATAATGATTTACCAGCATTAACTTTGCAAAATTATCATCATCTCTATTATTGCCTTTTTTAGTGGAAAACATTATAACCAAATAATATTTATCATCATGTCTACAAAATGTTTATCATTATTTTCAGTTCTTACTTTGGCTAGTGGACTCATCGTGACTTTGAATATCATTCAGAGATCATCATCATCCTTATATTCAATAATGATGTACAAATGATGATCATGTTTGAGAAAGGATTATCTTCAATGAGGGAAGATGATTATCGAAAATGTTTGAGAAAAGTTCTGATCCGTTTAAATTTAAATCTTTTCTTTTCTCCCTTTCAATTTATTGATTATTTTCTAGAAATCAATTCAAAGGATTAAAAAAATGATTGGTAATTAGAATCAATTTAAATCTAATTGAATTAAGTACATGTCTGATTTTTACTCATTTCTACTCTAATTGGATTAGCACTTTGCCAAAATATTCAAGTGGTTAAAACTTGATAAGATTTTTATGATTAATATTGATGATTTTGTGAACAATCAATTGGTATCAACAATCAAAATTGAATCCAATTGATTTAACCAAAAAAATACCAATAATCTGATCAGAATCAAAATTCAAACAATCATATCAACAACAAACTTTT